TCTGCTCTTGAGCAGAAAGGAACCCGGACGAGGTTCCGCCGAAGGGCAGAATCTCGTTCGGGGTGAATGACCTACCCTGATCTCGTTTTTACGAGTTATACGGGCATATTTTTGGCTGAGCCTACGGGCTCAGGAAACCCACGATAAAAAATGACCTTGTGTCGCATGCAACCCTCGTGGGGGTGGCTAGATACTGAATCAAGCCGATCTTTTCGACTTGACGGTCTAACTCTCTGCTTTTCAGCAGAAAGGAACCCGGACGAGGTTCCGCCGAAGGGCAGAATCTCGTTCGGGGTGAATGACCTACCCTGATCTCGTTTTTACGAGTCATACGGGCATATTTTTGGCTGAGCCTACGGGCTCAGGAAACCCACGATAAAAATGACCTTGTGTCGCATGCAACCCTCGTGGGGGGGGCTAGATACCGAATCAAGCCGATCTTTTCGACTTGACGGTCGAACTCTCTGCTTTTCAGCAGAAAGGAACCCGGACGAGGTTCCGCCGAAGGGCAGAATCTCGTTCGGGGTGAATGACCTACCCTGATCTCGTTTTTACGAGTCATACGGGCATATTTTTTTGGCTGAGCCTACGGGCTCAGGAAACCCACGATAAAAATGACCTTGTGTCGCATGCAACCCTCGTGGGGGGTGGCTAGATACTGAATCAAGCCGATCTTTTTCGACTTGACGGTCGAACTCTATGCTTTTCAGCAGAAAAGGAACCCGGACGAGGTTCCGCCGAAGGCAGAATCTCGTTCGGGGGTGAATGACCTACCCTGATCTCGTTTTTACGAGTCATACGGGCATATTTTTGGCTGAGCCTACGGGCTCAGGAAACCCACGATAAAAATGACCTTGTGTCGCATGCAACCCTCGTGGGGGGGTGGCTAGATACCGAATCAAGCCGAGCTTCTCGGCTTGACGGTCGAACTCTTTGCTTTTGAGCAGAAAGGAACCCGGACGAGGTTCCGCCGAAGGGCAGAATCTCGTTCGGGGTGAATGACCTACCCTGATCTCGTTTTTACGAGTCATACGGGCATATTTTTGGCTGAGCCTACGGGCTCAGGAGACCCACGATAAAAACGACCTTGTGTCACATGCAACTTTCGTGGGGGGGTGGCTAGATACCGAATCAAGCCGAGCTTCTCGGCTTGACGGTCGAACTCTCTGCTTTTGAGCAGAAAGGAACCCGGACGAGGTTCCGCCGAAGGGCAGCATCTCGTTCGGGGAGGATGACCAACCCGATCTCGTCTTTGCGAGTCATACGGGCATATTTTTGACTGAGCCTACGGGCTCAGGAAACCCACGATAAAAATGACCTTGTGTCGCATGCAACCCTCGTGGGGGGGGTGGCTAGATACCGAATCAAGCCGAGCTTCTCGACTTGACGGTCGAGCTTTCTGCCTCTGAGCAGAAAGGAACCCGGACGAGGCTCCGCCGAAGGGCAGAATCTCGTTCGGGGAGAAATGACCAACCCGATCTCGTTTATACGGGTTATACAGGCATTTTTTGGCTGAGCCTACGGGCTCGGGAAACCCACGTTAAACTCGGCCTTGTGCCACATGCAACCCTCGTGGGGGGTGGCTAGATACCGAATTGAGTCGAGCCGATAGTAGTTCACTCCCAACCAGACCGACAGTCATACTAACACCTTCCACATCTTGTATTATTATTTCGTGTAATATACCTTCGTTATTTCTACTCTTGTGTTCGTGTTGTTCTTCCTTGGTCCTAACCTCGACCATAACAGTAACCTAATTATGTTTTATAATGGACCATAAGAACTGAAAATAAATACAATGTATCTAAATAAAAATTAGAGACCTGTCATAATAGATCATTACATCTTAAATAAATCAACAATGATTTGCGGTAATTTTTTACATCAACTTGAGATTCTTCTTGTTAAACAGTTAAAGAATTTTAAGATGTTTAACATTATGGATGAAACAGTGAATATTATATAGTGTTTTTCGACACTTAGCAAGACAAATTCAGGGATCTGGACAAAAAAAAAAAAAAAATGACCCCAGAATGACGTCAAAATTCCGCGAAAATTTTTCGTTCTATAATAGTTGTGCTTAGTTTAATTTGTAACGTAGGTAGAAAAAAAGCAAATATTGATAAAATAGCAAGTGTTACAAAACATTGCCCGTGGCCGTCAATTAGTCTTACCTCACCGGTCGGGTAGGAAATCGGTGGGTAATATGCACCGGCCTTGCTTATTATACCAGTATATATGATAGACTCGCCCGTCATTTTCAACGTATGTGGACTGAACAGCTAGTCTACCCGCATATATGATCTGATTCTAGCGATGAAGGCTTGTGCAGAATCATCTATACTTTTCGGAAGAACCAAGTACATAGAAATGATGCATATAGTGAGCAACAAGGTCTCCAAACGATTCTCCTCAGGTTTTGAATTCAGGGTTGTCATTAATATAAGCTTGTTGCCAATCAAGGCTAAATGGCTCAGTCATCCCTATTATTTAACCAAAATCCGGGGAGAGAAAGGAAATGGATTTATAATTTCCCCTGTGTTATTGGTGTTAAGATGAATGGAACGAACTTGAGCGGAATTCGAACTCAGTTTTGAATGATTAAGCGGCTCGGAACGAGTTATCAATCAGTGCATATATATATATATATATATATATATATATATATATATATATATATATATATATATATATATATATATATTTAAAGATATTTTGTAGGTACAAAATTTAATGATCGAAATAAAAGTATAAAATTTAATATTACAAGACATATTAAAAGTATTAAATAATAAAAAAAAAAAAAAAAAAACTCAACAACAAGGGGGGGAAGCAACCGGTTTCGCTCCCGCTCGTCAGTCTTCCACGGGAGATTGAAAATTAAAACAGAGAAATGTACAGTAAGAATAGGTGGAGAAAAAAAAACCGGTTGCTTCCCCCCTTGTTGTTGAGTTTTTTTTTTTTTATTATTTAATACTTTTTAATATGTCTTGTAATATTAAATTTTATACTTTTATTTCGATCATATATATATATATATATATATATATTCGATCAAACCGAATTAAAAAAAAAATAATTACATTGGTCACACTACTACATGCCTATCCAGACGACTTACATTACACCAATCCGACTACAGCACCATTAGAATCCAGTTAAACACGCACACACATACCAGACTCCATCCGAAACATACTAGTAGAAAATACAAATATAATAGCTTCATCCACATGTAAATAAGATTAAAAATAGTGGAAGCCTTAATAATAAAAAAGAAAGAGCCAACACTTAACAATATTAACTAGGAATACGGCCACAATGTGCTGACTGTGTTCGGGAAATAAAACATCCCTATAACTCTAGAAACATACAAACAACCCATACATCCAGTTAAAAAGTAAAAATAAACTCATCCTTGAAAATGGCTAAAAAGTATAGTCGAAAGCGCTCGGAATTACAAGGCATTTGCACACTTTCTACACGCTCTGTGTCCCAAAAAGAAAACATTTGTTCGAATATAAGAAAAATTAAATAAAAAGCATAATCGCAGTAACTTGTCTGTCGTCTTTAATGAAACGTGTATAAATGAAGGATTGCTGACTAAATACACAATATATATATATATATCGTTTCACCCCAAGGAAGGCGATAATGCCACTTGGACGCACGAGCTTACAGGGAGTGAAAGGGAATGAAAATACTTTAGTGATGAGAAGTGAGGAAAAGGATAATAAACGAACAAGTTTCTAGAAGACAGAAGATGGCGATTGACATTGTATTTCAATTTTTGAAGATTGTAGGGAAGTAAGCAATAGAAATGACGGCTGCATTTAGCTAGTTCAACAATTTATCTCTGGTGTTGTTGACTTTAGCCACGGTAAGCATTCCTTGTCCTCGATTGAGCTCTGATGAGAGAGGAATGACAAACAGGTTTTAATCTCAAATATTAAATTCTGTTCCTCTTTTAAAATATTTCATGGTTAACAGAATATTAATATTTCAAGGTTATTAGAATATTTAATAGGATTTTGTTTTTAATGAAACGTGTATAAATGAAGGATTGCTGCCTAAATAAACAATATATATATATATATGTATACCTGGATTCTTCCTCTTGGAATTTTTTTTTTCTAAAAATATACATGTATGGGTATTTATATATTTTGCATATGTATGTATATTTTCCCAATATTATTCTCTCTCTCTCTCTCTCTCTCTCTCTCTCTATATATATATATATATATATATATATATATATATATATATATATATATATATAAAGGATTTTTAAAGCAAAATTTAGAGTGAGGGAGTGGGGGAAATTAAATGATTCGGAGAGAGACCGACCTTCACACACTAACTCACACACACACCCGGGCGCGCGCGCGCGCGCACACACACACACACACACACACACACACACTGAGAACGGGCTGGGGAGTTTGGTGTGTTTCTCTTGTTTCCAGAAATGGATGCGGAATATAACTGGAGAGACGGGATGTTCACATTGAGGAAGGCAGACGAGCATTTATTTTTCTTCTGCAACTACTGGAACTATCATCATCACCGGCATCACAATAGCCATGACCGCTAATGCAGCTGCTGCTACTACTACTACTACTACTACTTCTGCTGCTGCAACAGAACTATTTTCTGATTATAGGACGGCCAATGTTATTTCTTCTTTCTAACTTCGGAGAAGAAAGACGACGCTGACTGCTAGAACAAGTACAATTGTTATTACTTGTGCTGCTTCTAATCTAACAAGATGCTAAAATATCGGCCTCCCGATGTTACATACACACACGCACACATACATACACACACAGATACCCACATACAGACATACATAGACGGATACACACATACAAGGCCAAACACATATTCAATCCAATCTGCTGATAATAAAATCGCATAGTGCGTGGGTGTTTCTGATCGTCCGGTTTCCTATTCGTTTTTTTTAAGTCTAACTTACCCACCTGCTATTCTCTTTCCTCATGATCTATCTATCTATCTATCTATCTATCTATCTATCTATCTATCTATCTATCAGCAATATATATATATATATATATGTATATGTAAAATCTTGGTACTATCCAGTTACCTTTCTTTCGATTTTGGTGCTGATAGTCCATGTTCGAGTTCAGTTAAGTATCAGGTTTTCAATGGTAAATGCTCTATCTATCCCAGTCTGTTCATTTTCTATTTATCTATCCGCCTCTCTGTATATATATATATATATATATATATATATATATATATATATATATATTTTTATACCCGGAGTTATATTTTCCGATTTCTTTTTGAATTTGTAAGTCTGATGAATTAGATCGTGATTACGATTCCAGTGTAACAAATTATAACCATGGAATATTAGTGTTTGAGCCATATATATATACATACATATATATGAATAAAGACAAAAGGAAAATATCTGAATCAGGATGGCTAACATAAGTTTTCCTTTTATCTTTATTATCCGTTTACAGATATACTTTATCTGAAATTTTGACACACACACACACACACACACGCATATATATATAGAGAGAGAAAGAGATAAATAGGATAGATAGATCAATCTTGCTCTCATATAGCTACCTTTATTTCGATTTTCTGGCTTTAAATATCTTGCGATAGGTTGATAAACCATAGAAAACGATTCAATCACGTAGCACTCCTTGGTCTGATAGTCCGTGTTTGAATCCACGTAAGTCTCAAGTTATTCAATGTTATTTTATATATTTTTCCGAGTGCGTTTCATCTATCTATCTATCTATCTATCTATCTATCTATCTATCTATCTATCTATGCTGTTAAAGTTACTTACATATATTTGGTTACTTTTCTTTCGATTTGGGAATGGACGTAGCCCTGAACGGACCCCCCCCGCCCCCAATCAGTTCAGTTGCAGTCAAGGTAAAGATCATGTTTTTCAATGTTAATTTATGAGCCACGTAAACGGTCCCACCCTGATTGAGGAGTAATCAGTACACATTAATTTTTCTAGTTTGATCTGCCGTCCTCGATCGTTATTTCTTCTTGATCTGTCGAGAAACTTGCATTTATTGGCGGCGAATGCAGTCGCAGCTGAAAACTTCAGGAGAAAGAGCGTCAAAAATCGTTCGAGTCGATTCCTCCTGCAGATGTACATTGCGCGTTTTTCATTGACGAATTCAGGGACATTTTTTTATATCCATTATTATTTCTTTCTATGGTAGACCAGTTGCCATCCATGGCTAAAAAATCCAGTCAATCCTGCTATTTACCCATAGCTGGGGGAATAAAAATAGAATTCATACCTTTCCCAAGGGTATTAGCACGTAAGTAAATTTCAGTCAGCTATGTGCCATGCGTGATGCACGCTTATGCGATCATGTATCTTTCGATACCTGACTGACGATTGGCAGATTTTTCCCCGCAGTAGTCTGCCATTACTTTCTGCGGTAGACCAGTTGCCATCCAAGGCTAAAGAACCCGGTCTGTTCAACTATTTACCCATAGCTGCGGGGGAGAAGAAGAAGACTCATACTTTTCTCAAGGTTATTAGCACGTAAGTGAATTTCAGTCAGTTATGTGTCATGCGTGATGCACGCTTAGGCGATTATGTATCTTTCGATACATGACTGACGATTGGCAGATTTTTCCCCGCAGTAGGTTGTCATTTCTTTCTGCTGTAGACCAGTTGCCATCCAAGGCACGTCAGTTAAAAAGAAGTGCTCAAAAAATGATAAGAGCGATAAAGGTAAATTTTGCTGTCAATTTGTATCACAACAAACCACAGCTTTTACATTGAGTGCAATATTGATTTTTAAAAAAAGAAGAAAAATCAGCCTGTCTTAATAATCATGCAAAAAAAGCAACGATCAATAAATAAAAAGAATTATTATTTAATTATATATATATAGCTGGCCACTCGTATTCGAGGATAACCGTCTATTAATGCGACTAGCCAATCCCTATTGTAGACGCTTGCTCAGGCACATGTGTTTTTGTTCAACGCCCACAGAGCCCACCTGTGGTTTATACTGCAACTGTGTTGAGCAGAACTTAGTTACAGTTTCTGGAAAAGAGCGTGTTATCTAGTGTGATTAACAATTTGAATAAGGTCAGCTGCCTCAAGCCCTCGGCCACGATGACTTGTGAGTTCATGCTAGCACAGTTATCGACGGTATTCTGTCTACCCAATTTCACTCACAAGGCTTGGGTCAACCAGTGTTTTCAAAATGTGCCGCATCTGGAAGTTTCCTTACTGACAGATCGACCATGGTGAGATTCGAACCCGAGTCTCATGATCAGAATGTGAACGTTCCAACCACTCGGCCACTGTGCCCATTTGATATATATATATATATATATATATATATATATATATATATATATATATATATATATATATATATATATATATATATATATATATATATATATATATATATATATATATATATATATATATATATATATATATATATATAAAAGTGTATATAAATATAAATAAATATATATATGTATAATTATTTATATATTATATACGGTACTTATTAGAAAGCGCTCAATATCAGAGATAGAGCTAACATATTTGGTTGGATAGATGTGAGTTTGTGACCCTGGGTTTCACGCTTTAGCGATCGTCAGACAATCGATAAAGAGTGAAACCCAGTGTCACAAACTCACATCTATCCATCCAAATATATATATATATATATATATATATATATATATATATATATATATAACCCATTAAAATGATATTTGAACTCTTACAGGAATAAAGAAAAAAACGGCACTAAAACAAGATGAATATCTTTGATATTCTTTGAAGCATAAAATGTGCGATGAACTTGTGCATGCTTTCCACCAATTTATTTCCATTTTTTGCTGCTTTTCTCTTCGAGCGGCAAACATGAAAATATAGCACTGCCTTTTGTTTTCTTCTTCCAACCATATTTGAAGACAAAACCAGCATGAAATGAACGAATCCTAATAAATAGAAAACCCATGAGTTTCTAGAATTGTTAGTGATTCATTAATCAAGAATGAATGATTTGCTCATAGCTTTGGAAAAAGGGTAACTCATCAATTGATGATATCTGCTAATCTCTAATGAAACGACAATTGATGATATCTGCTAATCTTCAAAGGAAACGACAATTGATGATGCCCGCTAATCTCCAATGAAACGACACTTGATGATGACCGCTAATCTCCAATGAAACGACAATTGATGATATCTGCTAATCTCTAATGAAACGACAATTGATGATGTCTGCTAATCTCCAGTGAAACGATAATTGATGATGCCCGCTAATCTCCAATGAAACGTCAATTGATGATATCTGCTAATCTTCAAAGAGAACGCCAATTGATGATGCCCGCTAATCTCCAATGAAACGTCAATTGATGATATCTGCTAATCTTCAAAGAGAACGCCAATTGATGAGATCGGCCGTGTAATTGTTAAAATACTCGTGCTTTCTTCAAGAATTGAACTTGTATCCCCTTTTTAATCTCCTAAACGACTTTCAAGCTAACTTTGCTTTGCCATTGAGTTTGTTTGTTTCGAGGCATATCGACTCCTTAGGGGTCATTTATTGCCTACCTTTAATTTTCTTGAGAGCATTAGTAAATTATTTTATAAAAATGCATTACTGTTTTTATTTTGTTTTTGTTTTTACAAAAAAAATTGCTGGAAATTTTTTTACTATGAAAATCTATTGCTTATATTTCTACTGTATAAATGTATTTTTATACTTTCATATTGTTTTGTTTTTGTTTGGAAGTTCACTATTTGCCCATAGCTGGGACCCTAACAGGTGTTACCACCCCGGGTCAGGGTGAACCTTAGGACAACAGTAATTAATCTTTAACATTCTGGAGATGATTTTGGTTGCAAATAAAACATTTTATACTGTCACTGCAACCTACTAAGATAAATGAGTTTTAGCGCATTTGAATTTTGTGGTTGTGTTGTCATATCCTGCTATGGCAACAGAAAATGACCATGACGGAATCTAAGTAGTGCAATAGAGGACCCTTAAAAAACAATGTAGTGGAAAAGAAAGTAATGAATAATGCAGTGTGTTGATGGTTAAGAGGCGGCTTCACGTTCCTCAAAACCTCCCGATGAGGCCTTGCTGCTGGGTGTAGTTTATCGTCATACCCAGGAGGAGTTCAATTACCTGATAACTCCCGATGTCTAAATGGGTCGGCAAGATACTATACTACTCAAAACATCGTTTTATATTCAGCTGTTAATAATCTATAGAATTATTTGCTTATTTTCCTGATTTTTTCCTGCATCTGTACGCTGTATTTAAATAGTATTGCTGCCGACACTGGAGTTTGAACACAGATCACCAGAGAGAAAACACAGGTGATACCATTTTGGAATAAGTAGATCACATGATAGTAAAGGAAATGTATATATGGGAATTAGCGTGGCGTCTAATTGATCACTATTTCTATTCTATCCTCTAATACGATACACATCGCTATCCTCTATACTATTCACTATACTATTTCTCTATACGAATCACTATTCGTTGGTTACTATTCGAGCGAGTATTATCGAGCAAGTACTATTAGTGCGAGTGATATTCGAAGGCGTCTGACACCAGTATTGTTCAATGGCGTCACTATAGTTGTATCTGCGGTTATAAAGTCTCTACTACAACAAGCATTACGAAAGTGACGAGTATTCGTTGACATCACAAAAAAAAAAAAAACTATAAGAATAGAACTGGTGTCTGTGTCTAGCTAGTTTTTACTTTAACTGTATTATTTTCGAAATTAGATTTTTTAACTAATTTAAACTCGGATTTTATTTCTATCTATTTATTTGTTCATTTATTGAAAGATTTTCATATCGTATATTGTTTCAGTATTAATTTAGTAAGAACATGTAATAAATTGACATAGTCCAGTCATATAGTAATCATAAGATATTTGTAGATAATGGCGTTTTCAATGCAATATTGTGTGGGCAACATTTATTCATTTATTAATACTCTATCGTCTATTACTATATGAATCACTCTTTCTATTCTATCCTCCATCACTATTCGGATTACTATTCAGCGGTTACTATTCGAGCGAGTATTATCGAGCAAATACTATTAGTGCGAGTGCTATTCGAAGGCGTCTGACACCAGCATTGTTCAACGGCGTTACTATAGTTGTATCTGCGATTATATAGTTTTTACTACAACGAGCATTACGAAAGTGACAACGAGTATTCGTCGACCTTACAAAAGTGACAACGAGTATTGGGTGACCTTACGAAAGTGGCAACGAGTATTCGTCGACCTTACAAAAGTGACAACGAGTATTGGGTGACCGATGATTCGATGCAAAAATGGTTCTTTTTTACCAGTTTGCATTCATACAGTAAGATGAACCAACATTGTTTTCATTGTAATCATTTCCATTTGGCTTATAAGTAACAATATATTGAAAGAAAAATTATCTGGAAAGAAAAAAAATCAGGAATAAGTCAAGATAAGGAGGTTACTTCGTTAGACGACCAAATCAACAACCAACCCCCCAAAAAGGAGTCATTTCACGTGGGACAACCTAATATAATATTCAGAGAATTATTTCTTGTTTAAATATTATTAATCTTTTTATTCGCTGACTACATTTGTTCCCCTGAACGTATGTTACGATGATCTCAATTCCTCTGAAAGATTTCGAAAAACTATTGATTCTCCATGTGTTATGGGACCTTACCCATAATAACATAATGGACTATTCCATAAGTAATAAATACTGCGCCTCAAGAGGAAGCAGCGAGTTGAGTCCGAAGTCGGCCGA